TATTTCCTGCATTACTAATCACATTCAAACTTCCATGGCAGATAGGAATTGGTTTGAAGGTTGAGAAATACGTATTAGCGATGCTTTAGCGCTGACTTTTTTCTTTTATACAACTGGCTCTTTGTAAGTGAAAGAAAGCACGATACCTGCAGTGGGGGTGCCTGGCAAGAGCTCTCCTATATTATAAGCAAGGGTTCTTAAGTCACCAGCTCAGCAATAAATGGTAATGGGATGGTCTGAATAACTAGAGCTACTCCTGGAACAAATGCTGACAAACTGAGCAAGTCAGCTTAAGATGGGCACACACGGAGCGAATTTCGGCCGACTCAGTAGAAGTTAGATCCATGGCTGGCCTTATCCCCTTGACCGAAGTTGATCATTAGATTAAAGGAGAACTATGAGGTGAGTGCTTTTCACTCACCTCATTTACCTCGAGCTACAGCTCGCTTTATACTGAGCCTAGGGTGATGGGAGGACGCTAGTTTGTGTCCTCCCGTTACCCTAAGGAGAACTATGGGGAAAAGCCCTAACCCCATAGTTCTCCTTTAACTTTAGCAGAAGGGACATGCTGGAAAATCATCAGCTGAATAGTAATTGCAGCCAAATCAGCTGCAAGTGGCCGGAGCCGCTATCAGAATACAATGATCTTATGCACTACTGCTACCTATCAAAGGGCTCAATACATGTCAGAGCCAGACAATCTGATCTGAAATGGTCAAGTTAACAGAGAAAGCTGTCATATATTTCAAGTGGACAGCAATGAGAATAACCAGCACTCATGGGATGAAATAAATCCAAATTGACCTTGTATTGTAGAAACATGTCACTTGTATCAAGAAGCCAACATTTTGGAACCACAAATAGTCATACTCTGGATTCATGCTGGACATGTCACTGCTCTCCCCGCCGCTTCTGCAGAATCAAACACCAAAAACCAGACACCAGTCACCTCCCCAAGCAAACCCGGCTCCAGGGGACAAATTAAAACTAAAGCGGCAAATACAATTCTTAATACAAGTGACACGTGTCTACAATAAAAAGAAAATTTGGATCTATTTCATCCCATAAGTGCTGGTGATTCTCATTGCTGTTCATCTGATATATGCACGGCGCCATACGTGGACATCACTACAAGCACCACCATTACTTCTGGTCTTTATTGCTGTATGGTGTGCAGGGGACACCCTAGTTTATTGATATATTTGAAGTGAACTTGTCAGATTGCCCTGAATTCATCCACCTCCTCCGCTATCTTTCCGTGCCCCCCCCCCTCCCCATTTCACTCATCACAGCTCCAAATAGAAAGCCTTGTGTAAGCTCAGTGGTGGAGCTTACACAGGGATAAGTACTTTGCTTGCAACCTCATATGACAGTGCTCAGACCTATCGACTGGACACTAAGGCAACGTTCAGTCAATCATGGGAAGAAGGGTCACATGCTCCCCCACACCCTGAAGTACCAGATATCTCCAGGGGCTTCTGGTGAACAGGGTAACAGAGGTGCATGAGGAAGGGAAGTAATAGGAGAAGAGAAGGTGGGCTATAAAGAGAACTTGCTACTTAACCCTATATAGGTAAAGTGACAGGTTTACTTTAACTTCAGTCTACAGTTTATCCAAACCTATTTCATAAACATTCCTCTGCTTCCACGTTTTACCTGTATCTGAGTTATGGATTCTTCATTAATGTCGCCATCCACCACTTCTGTGGTGGCAGTCATGGTCACCTCAAAGCTCTGGTCATTCTCGGACACTAAAAAGTACAAAATATTGAAATTAATTCAAAGGGGCATAAGTAATGACACACCAAAACTTAAAGTGAATGTGTTCTAATGAGAAAGAAAATGAGCTAATATCATCTTGCAATTGGAGGCATTATAGGTTGTCTATGCGTACCTTTGGTTTGTAACAATCTGGAAGCCCTGAACCTGTGGTGCATTTTGCATGCAAGTACCAACCTACCTCCAGGTTGGCATTTAACCACTTGAAGACCAGGTGTTTAGACCCCCTTCCTGGTCAGGCCATTTTTCAGTATTCAGCGCTGCGGTACTTTGACTGACGTTTATTCATCATGCAACGCTGAACTGAAATTTTATACCATTTTTGGGGGGACACATAGAGCTTTATTTTGGTGGTATTTAATCACCACTGGGGGTTTTATTTTTTACAATAATTAGGAAAAATTACTGAAAATTTTGAAGAAAAAAAGTTTTTTTTAACATTATGTTAGGAAACATTATTACCCAGTTTTTTGGTAAAATATAAAAGACGCGGTCACGTCGGGTAAATAGACACCAAACATGTCAAGCTTTAAAATTGCGTGCACCCGCGAAATCGCAGAAAACTACCATACTCAAAATTGGCCATAGACGACCATTTAAAAGCTTTTACCGCTCATAAGTTTAGTGTTATCAGTGATTGATGGCCCTAGAATGATTGCTCTCACTGTGACGTTGGCGGCAATATGTAACATGTGCGGGGTAAAGGGCGCAATCGTCGTTTTTGCCTGTATGCGCCCCCGACGCATGTTTGCATGCGTGTATGTGTGGGGACTTTTTGTTTTTTATTCTTTTTTATGTGAAACTTTAATATTTTTTTTTCACTAAACTTTATTGCTATCACATACGGGGGCTAATAAAACCCTCCTATGTGATAGCAAAATATGTGACAGGTCCTCTTTTCAGCTCAGGGCCTCTTCCTGTAGTGCTGGCTCAGGTTACAAGCCTATACAAACGTATACACAGACACCGTGTATCCATTCCTGAGACAAGGCAGTCTGCTGCAAAACAGAAGTTCTGCCCAGCATGAGAACAGATACAGATTTAAAAGGAAGAGCAGCAAAGAGAAGGGAAACAACCATGAATTACAGTAAGGCGCACATTACAGTATTGTTTTATGTTAAAAAATCTGAGGGTTTAAGGTCACTTTAAATTGTCAGGACTTTATAAATACCTGAAATAAAATTAAATACCCACACTACCAATCAATCTAGCACTGTCTCATCCACTTTCTATAATCACAAATTGTTGTAAGCTGCTGCAAAAGGAATTTGCCACATTTACTGCAGTTCATAATTAAAAAAGGAAACAGCACATGGGTACAACTTGAAATGTACTATTAATATAATCATTAATATAGAGGATTTATATAAAATCGCCAACAGTTTGTGTAGCACATTACAATACAAAGGAAGACTGTACAGTTAAATACAGATGGTTAGGAGGGCCCTGCTTGTGAGAGCTTACAATCTACAAAAGAGGAGCTAGTGATAGAAAAGGTAGTAGCTGTGTGGGAATAAGATGTTTGAGAAAGTGCTAGTTCGGTGGTTAGGTAGAGTGGGATAGGCCTCCCTGAAGAGATTAGTTTTTAGGGATCGCCTAAAGGTAAACGGAGTAGGAGATAGATGGACAGGCTGCGGTAGGGAGTTCTAAAGGATGGGAGAGACTCTAGAGAAGTCCTGGAAGTGGGCATAGTAGGAGTTGATGAGGGAGATAGAAAGCAGGGGGTCTTGGGAGGAGTGGAGAGGATGGTTAGGGTGATACTTTGAGAACAGGTTTGACATATAGCCAGGGGCAGAGTTGTGGATGGCTTTTCAAGTGGTTGTTAATATGTACTATAGATTTACTATGAGTTTTCATGACTGGAGGACTCCTTTAAAACTATTTAACAAACATCATGACATATTTTGTTGCGATGATGTGAGACTTCACCAAGTGCAGGTGAATACTGTTATAGAAGTGAGAACATTTGAATTCTTTCAGCACTTGTGTGTTTTGCTTAGCATTACAGATAAGGAATTCCTGGTACCATTCTGAGGACAATGCAGGATTAAATTCCCATCGAGGTCCTGTGTGAGTGTTAGGGAGCTTCTTGTGGTTTGAAGTTTCACTCCTCCAGACTCTTCGTCACCTGTGCTCATACTCAACCTGCAACAAGAACATAAGACTGCTGACATGGAATGTAGTGGCCACATAATACAGCAATATAGTCTGCAATCACCAAAGAGGTAACAAACCATCCCTTACTTCATAAGAGGGGTGCCCAATTGGGTATTTATTGCCGTCTATATTATAACATGCAAAACATATAATGCAGCTAGAGTTAGGCTTTAAAGCAGGACTATCAAGCAGATAGCAGAGCAAATCAAATCTTAACCCCGCAGTGGAGCTACCCCCGCACTGCAGGGTTTTGTCTCGGAAGCTAAAATAGCACAGTTATACTCACCTGAACCACAATCCTGGCTAGCTCCTAGACACGTCCCTCCAGCCTGTCTCCTTCTCTGCTCCAGTGATGGTATCTCCCTCGGCGTTCTCATGTTCTATACACTGTATTGTATGCGATGACTCTCACTGGACCTTAGGCTGCTGGAATGAAGCTGAAGGGACCGTTCTAAGAGCAAGCTGGGATCACGGTCCGGGTGAGTATAACTTTGCTATTTTAGTTTCCTAGACAAAACGAGTGTGACGATAATGGGAGTCCGAGTCTGAATATTAAAAAATAGAATTCTTTTGTTTTCCAGTCAGAGCAAATACAGGCCTTCGTTTAGTCATTTGCCAGGCATTTCACAGAACAGGAGATTTGCTAGCTGGCTGTGATCTTTTATTGCCCCAGCCCTAGTGAAAGTCCAAAATATCTCTCCAAGCCTGTTATGGCTGTCCCTAATGAAAGGCATGGCACACATCGCTCATCTATTACCAGTGGACAAGTTAATATAAACAAGCAGGTCCGGTAGAGGTGGTGACCCCGCATTCACACGAAAGTCATAAAACCTGAGTTACAAAATCAGCTCCATTTCATTATGTGGAATTGGGTGGGGATAGTGAAAAATTCAAGTTTATCCTCCTCCCTGCTTTCCCTTCCATAGGGGCCGACTCCAGGACACCCCTTTACAAAAGGGGCTTATAAAATATTCTGTCTAGGCCACTAGAGTTGACTCTTGGAACATCAAGGAACTAAAAGAAGTCTTAACATCGCAGAAGAGTTCCCCTTTAATCTCTCGACATTATCTGCTGGAAGTCTGCTTGCAGAAGAGTCCTGCAGACTTCTCCTTTGCTTATTGAACTCTGCCAGAACTCCTAATTCCAGGACTGTTGAGTATTCTCCTTTTATTTTTCTGTTGTGCATATATATTTTGTCTCTTTTTATTAATATATTTTTCTGTATATTTTCAGCACCGTTTCTTTTATTAAAGGACGATCTTAAAAATTGTTAAGCTCATCTCTACGCTCTAAATACGAACTTAAAGTATCCTTGCCTCTGTGAAGAGCGCTACTGTATATTAAGTCCTGTCATATTCCTGTCTGAGAGGACAGCGGTATCACAGGCATTAAGTGTTTAAATTGTTGCAGCATTTGCTGGGCACGGCCTATGTTTCTGGTACGAAAAAACACATGGTGGCAGTGAACGTTTGTGCGTAAAGGGTTAACTGCGGAGTTAACCAACCCTGGTGACGATCGCTCTCAGTCTGCTGGCCTGAGATTGTGTCCGGCGAGCTGGGAAATCTCTGTGCAGGGTGAGGCTGAGAGTGGTATCGCCACGTCCTTGTGATGCTCACGCTCGGTTCAGACTTGTGTATAGTCACGTAGGATTGACGTACAGCGGGTTTGGGCCGGGCGTACGTCACACCGAGCACTAACGAGCACGATTTGCCTGGAGTTCTGTTTAAAGGATATCTCATCTTTAGAACAAATATGTAATATATGAAACTTACCAGTTTTTAGATGTGCTGGCTGCATTCGTTTTCTTTTTTCAGGCTAAGAACATTGTCAGCAAGTACAGAAAAGATGTGCAGATCTTGCCAGAAACGCAGCGTCCATGTCACTTCCTGTGAGCTGAACTAAAAGCACAAACAACGTTATCTTCTTTTTGTGAACCAATAATTCCCCACCCCAAACATAATGGAGATGAAGACATGTTTGCAGTACAGTCTGTGTAACAACCATGGCTCCCTCCATATATACAGTGGAGGAATGAGTGTAGCCACAATGGGAATGAAAGTGAGTATTCTCAGGATCACCAGGTGATAATAAAGACACCAAAAGCCGGAAAAAGGTAATGCAATATACGTTTTCTTTTTTTGTTTTAGATATGATTTTATAGCTCCAGGTCAACTATAAAAATCAGAGTGTGAAAGTCATGGGAAGTAGAAGTACACTCATCTGTTTGTTGTCCGTTCTCCTGTAGGCTGGGCATACACAAAGCCAAATACACTGAGTGGCCAGATTATTATGACCACCCCATCAGTACTTTGTTGGGCCACGAGATGACTTAGTTGGGCCGCCTCGTGACTCCATGAGATGTTGAAAGGTGATGCGAGGAATCGGACACTGCACTGTTGCCCTTCTGTTGTCTTGTACCAGTCTTGCCACTCTCCGTTCTGCCCTAACATTGACTAGTCGCTGACGGCCACAATTCGCACGTTCAGACCCAGATTTTCGGCTGACAGTCCAGTCTTTAAACACTTTAACAACAGCTGCTCTTGAACATTTAACGAATTCTGCTGATTTGCTGATACTCGCTCCATGGCTCCGAGCGCCAACATCCCACGTTCAAAGGCTGTTAAATCGCGTTGTTTACCCATATCTTCAGAAAAAAATCACTTCTACTGTTGTGGTAAACAACCTGCTTCCCTATTTATAATGGTCTGGCCCTCTAGCAACTTCAGCGCGAAATTATAGCTAATTTGCCTACAAACGTCAGGTGGACATAATAATCTGGCCACTCAGTGTATACTTCAGACAACACTTTTATTTCCTTTTGTCTCTGCCACAGTGTGAAAATCAGAACCTCTGTCAAGCTTTTACTGCTGCCAGTCACCCCAAGGAAGAAATCTCTATTAATCTTTTACATGAAATAAGGAAAATCCAGAGTCTTCACCAAAGAAGGAATAGTGTAAATCTTCCATTGTGGGCACTGGTTCTGGTGACCACTGCCTAAAGGAAGGAAGATGTTTCCCTTACTTTGGAGATATTTCCCCTCACTTCCTCTTGTGTCTGAAGGAGAAGTGAAAGCAAATCTCTACAATGAGACACAGAAGGCAAAAAATAAAAAATAAGAGAGATGTTAAACCTTTGTTACTCTATTCAAAATGGATTAAAATTGGCATTAGTGTATGGAAACCCTAACATTTAACTTATCTTACTTGCTCCCTTTTTGTCTTTTAAAGCAGAACTCCAACCAACAATAAGTTAAAAACAGATAGCCCCATAAAAATGTAAAATAACAACACCAACTTCCACTGCAACATTCACCTTCAATCAAGAGAGGCCGCTCCATACTTGTTTTTTTCTGCCACTAGATGTTCTCAGTCTGATGGCCAGTACCATTTAACCAACTTCATCTGGGCCCTAATCATGCTGGACCCACCCAAGTCTGAGTAGACAGTGAAAGGAGGAGAAGCAGCTCAGTGATGAGCTTATCCCTCTGTCTCTCTTTGCTTTCTCCTCCTATGAGAATACACCATGTCAGCACATTAAAGTGATATTTAAGTCAAAATGCTTTTAAACGTATAAACATCAAGAAGCAGCATGCTTTGTAAGTGATTTAATAAGCATTTGAAATACACTATATTACCAAAAGTATTGGGACTCTTGCCTTTACAAGCACATGAACTTTAATGGCATCCCAGTCTTAGTGCGTAGGGTTCAATATTGAGTTGGCCTGCCCTTTGCAGCTATAACAGCTTCAACTCTTCTGGGAAGGCTGTCCATAAGGTTTAGGAGTGTGTCTATGGGAATGTTTGACCATTCTTCCAGAAGCGCATTTGTGAGGTCAGATACTAATGTTGGAGGAGAAGGCCTGGCTGGCAGTCTCTGCTCTAATTCATCCCAAAAAGTGTTCTATCGGGTTGAGGTCAGGACTCTGTGCAGGCCAGTCAAGTTCCTCCACCCCAAAATCGCTCATCCATGTCTTTATGAAACTTGCTTTGTGCACTTGTGTACTGTCATGTTGGAACAGGAAGGGCCATCCCCAAACTGTTCCCACAAGTTCAAGTAGAGCTGCAGCTAACGATTATTTTCAAAATCGATTAGTTAGCCGATTATTAAGTTCGATTAATCAGTTAAAAAATAAAATACATTGTTAAAAATGGCTCCTGTGATGGGATTACTAGTTTGTATTGAGATTGCAGTTCATTACAGGAGCAAGCTTGGAGCGGTGGAAGTAAAAAAGAAAAAAAAAAGTGTGTTGTGCAATATAGTGATAATGAAAAGTATAAAATTATACAGCAATGAATGCAGAATGGCACCGGCTATAGAGGACTACAAATCCCAGCAATAGTACATTATACAGCACAATTTAGAATACCACCACCTATAGAGGAATACAACAAATGCCAGCAATAGTACATTATAGCTGGTGGTATTCTGCATTGCGCTGTATAATGTACTTTTGCCCTCTACGCACTGTTGTTGTGCCAATCTGAAGGCCACACGAAGTTTGGAGGTCTGTAGCTATTGACTCTGCAGATAGTTGGCGACTTCTGCGCTTCAGCATGCGCTGACCCCGCTCTGTCATTTTACATGGCCTACCACTTCATGGCTGAGTTGCTGTTGTTCGCAGTTGCTTCCACTTTGTTATAATACCATTAACAGGTGACCGTGGAATATTTAGTAGCAAGGAAATTTCACAGAACACCTGAATCCAATGATTTGGAGGATTGGCAATATAGTGTAGCTTTAGTTTCCTGCAAAATCAGTTGGTCCCCAAATCAATGGTCCAGATATGCTATTTTAGGTTGGTTACTTTCCCTTGCAGAGTCCTATGGAGCCACTGTTCCGTGTGCTAGTAAGATGCATCTTCAAAAACACGCAGGCACAGCAAGGCAAGACACTCCCCACTCCTTCCTTATCCTAGCTAATAGATTGACAGCTGCTGTACTTCAAGTACCCCTCTCACCTCCAATGTACTAATGCTCAGTCCTAGCCATTGGCCACTCAGACACAGCAGGGGCAGGGGAAGTGTGAGGAGTTCTCTTTTACCTTAAAGTCAGTGTCACTGCTATAAGTCAAAAGGGTACCTAGCACAATCCTGTGCAACAAAATGCATAGTCCCGGAATCACACCTTGACATCCCGAAAATGCGTGTTGCATTCACGTGTTTGTCCTACAATACCCATTGATTTCAATGGGTGCTGCACACGTGACAAATGCGGCAAAGTAGCTCATGTAGCAGATTCTGCTCCAGGCATACCATATTTTTTACCCGCGTGTTTGTGCACACTTTAACTTGTGTCCATGCGTGGGGAAAAATGTGCGCTTTCCTGGCAGCGTTCGGGATGCCATTAACAAGTAATGTCGCTGCAAGCATGTTGCACATTTTTTATGCGTTCGGTGAACAAGTGTTTGACACACGTTCACAGAATGCAAAGGTGTGAACGTCCCCAAAGGTCAGTAAAGTGCTTCTGTAAACACCTATTTAGACGCATAAATATACAGACCGGCAAAATTCTTATTCCATTCCTCTAGCTTGAATTTACGTGTGTATGTATGCTTGTACACATGTAAATTACTGGCTTGGGATGCAGATCGGTAAAGCAAAACAAACGACAAACGCACTCAACAATTTGTTACCAGTTATACAGTAAGGTGCACACAAAATGGGCTTTGAACAGTGGAACAGTAGAAAGGCATCATGGCACACTTGTTTTGCTTTACCGATTTGGTGCAGCGACGCATGGGGTTTCTCAGCTGCCAATGGGATGTGCGGGATCCCTTGTGTGTTTCTGTACCTTTAAGGAGGTGGGGCGTCCTCCTGACAGGCCTGCACCCAATTTGATATCTTCTGCCCTCATGTGCTCCAAGATGGAGACTCTCATAGTTTAGAGTTAGGACCGCACTATAAGAGGTGCCTTGGCGCGGCAGTGCGGCTTACACATCCTTTGCAGAAGACGTGTATCCAAACCTCTGTCATTGTCCTTAGTGGTGAGACAAGTTGTTTTACATGCTGGTTTGTGAGTGTGCCATGATGCCTTTCTACTATAGTAGATGTAAACCCTAATCAGATAACGTATGGTTTGCCAAGTACTATATATTATAAAGAAACGTCATTTAAAAAAAATGTAATATTAGTTTTAAATTTTATTCTTTCTTAAATCACAGAATTGCTGATCTCTTGCCGACTCTGTACATACACTTCCTGTCTACCCACATGGACTCCAGCAACAGTTCCCTAATGGTACAACTTTGAGCAATGTGTGTCAGAACAGCCACATAGTCTCTATTGGAAGCTTGTGTGACACCACACAAGAACATATGGGAGACAGGACAGAGTTGTCACCCTCTAACACAAAGTCCATGAACAAGGACCTTCAGAGCAGGATCACCAGGTATTAAAGTAATCAAAGCTGCACATTTAAAAAGAGATTGAAAATGACATTAACATGTTAAAGCGGATCCTCAGTCTCCTGACTCATTGTATTGTCACCTCCCTCCTTTCTCACAATTTTTATGTTTTTCCACCCCAAGTACTTTTTTTTATTTTTGTGATTCTTGCCCAGACAAGAATGATGTCAAATTTGCCTGCAGCCTCCTGGAGTACTAACATCCTACATCCCAGGAGGTCTTGGCTGTGCCCTGTGCTTCAACAAAAGGCTGGCTATTAGTGATGGGCTCGGGCGTGTTCGCAGCTCCACGTGCCGAGCTCGCCAGGAAGCTGACAGCGCCAATCACAGGCACTGAGACATTTCCCGATCTCTGCAGCTGCGGACCGGGAAAATGTCTCAGTGCCTGTGATTGGCGCTGCAGCGCTGTCAGCTTCCTGGCGGGCTTGGCACGTGGAGAAGCGAACACGCCCGAGACCATCACTACTGGCTATCTCTTCTGGGTTCTTGCAGTTGGCCCCTAATGACGCTCTGTGGCACATGCATGTCATCAGGGGGCAACTGCAAGAACCCAGGAGAGACAGACGGATGCTGGATTTACTGGACGTGGCAGTATGTATTTTAGGGATAACCCAGAGTACAAGATAAGGTGTTAAAAAAAATTACAGTGGGGTGTGAAGTTCCTCTTTAAGGGCTGGCTCACACCATAGGGTGCGCTAAATGTACAGGACCCGTTGGTCTAAAGCAGGGGTGGGCAACTCCAGCCCTCCAGCTGCTGTGAAACTACCAAGTCCCATGAGGCATTGCAGGACTGACAGTTACTGGTATGACTCCCAGAGGCAGAGGCATGTTGGGATTTGTAGTTAAAGCACAGCTGGAGGGTTGGAGTTTACCTACCCCCTGTTCTATCGCACAGCAAAGACGGAGGTATCACAATAACATGCGATGCAATGCTGTGCGGTGAAAAAAAAAAAAAAATGAATGCACTATTTTGTTATCACCACACGGCAACTCTATTAGGGTTCCGTGAATTGTTCTGCACTGCAATGCACACCTGCCAGGAGGAGCGTTGGGGTGAGCATGGAAAATGAATGGCAACACAAAAGCACACCTGGCTAATGCACAGCTCCCATATGTTTAGAGCAATGCTAAGGTATGCACCAACCCTAAAGCTTATACGAGGTTTACATCTACTTTAAACCGGACACCAACCTTATAAAACTAAACAACAATAAATATAGCAAAGTATTCCTGTGTGATCACTATCCTGTGCTAGTATATAACGCACGTTATATGTACGTGCTATATATACACTTCACATTTGTGATGATGGAGGGGCAGACGTCCACATAAACAATGGTGGTGGAATGATGTGACCCGATCAGGGTGCACACAGCTCCTGTCACTGGGCCGGATACTCACTTCCTGTTTTCAGTCCGGGTACTTGGCGAGCAGGATGGAGGCTCCGAGATACCAGGATGAAGCAACACAGCGCTCCATAGATCCCAGCTGAATAGGAAGTGGAGGTCACCTCTGACGTCACTTCCGCCCTTACCTATCATGGAGGGCGAGTACAGGCTGTGCTGGCTGGAGAATTGATATATGACCAGCAATGCAGTGACTACAGGTCTCTTCATTGTATAGCCGGGTCTACAGCTCTTTTAGGGCCAGTGTCAGGAGATATGGACATGGCAGTAAACTCTGTTCAGTAAATGAAGCATTTTAACTGCAAGCAGTACTGATCATGTGTTGTTTACAGATTAAAGTTGATGTAAAACTTGCCTGATTGATATTTAGGTTTTAATTCACTATATCATAAACAGTTGAAATTTTTTGGTAAAATGCTTGTTTTCACCTTTTTTTTCTTTATTGCATCTGAGCAGTACTGATCTCCTGCAGCCTCATTGCAGCCAGTTCCTGTCTACATGCAGCGATCGCTGCATGGCATTTCGCAGGGCAGGTTTCCTTTTATGTCGCTCAATGGTGAGCACAACAAAATGCTCAAGACAAGGAATCCCATTCATTTCTATGGCTCCTGTTCACATCTTGTTGCAAGCAGAAAAACCCCTGTCGCTGGAAAAAGTAGATGAGCTACTTATTGGCAGATTACAGAGCTTTTTGGTCCCATAGACTTCAAAGAAAAACTTCATACAACAAAACACTCTAGTGTAAACAGGGGCCATAGAAATGAACGGGAGTCCTTGTCTAGCTATGTGTGACAAAATGCCTAAGTGTGAATGGAGCCTAAATCCAGCATTTACACATGTGTTCCATGAACACGCGTCACATTGGTGCTCACTTGTGCGTGTTTGTGTGCTGTGTTTGCGACACGTCTCCAATTAGTTCAATGGGGCTCACAAATGCATCAAAAAAACTAATTTAGCATTTTTTGCGACAGACATTGCATGTTCTTTGCTTCCATGTTTGTGCACATTTTAATGCATGCAAACGCTGAGTAAAAAAGCATGTCTTCCTGGGCAAGTTTTGAGTGCCATTAGAAAATAATGGCAATGCAAGAGTGTTTTGCAGCAGGTAAGTAATACAGCTTTATCCTGTCCCCTAGACATAAACAAGCAGTTAACATTTGCAATGCAGTGGCAGCTCCACTGCATGGGAAAACCTTTTAATTTCCCTGGAGCTGGGCTTTCATAATACATAAGTGCAGTATGGGCATTTCTTATACCTGCATTAAGTTAATTTTTTAAGAACTTTATAGCTGAAAAGCCATTGACTCCTCTTATGAGCGGTCCTTCCCCATTCCACTTCCTTGGTATACCTGTTGTGTGTACAAAGTAGCCCTGACTGTAAGCATCATAATGGCAGCCAAGGGATGGGTGGATGTAGCATCCTTTATTAACATGGTCCAGGAGCACCTAGAACTCTTTGACAATTGGTACAAATATAAGTACCACAGAAGAAAGACTGACATCTGGGAGAAAATGCAGCACAAATATATCCTGATTGGGAGCAAATGGAAAAATCCCTTAGGAAAAAAAAGATACCATTAACGCATATCAAATGTATGTAACCATGCATGTGGAAATGCATGAACAATGCATGATTTGTGGTAAAATGGGCAATTACATCAGTTGCTGATTTATATTGTTGCTATGTATCTCATTGATATCCAATCATTGCTGTGTATGTTTCTCACGTCATTTCCGCTTTCTTACTTACAGTGTTTAAATGCCACTGAATGGGAAAAAAATGTAACTCTGAGCTGCAACGCCTTTTTCTTTTTGTAATTTTGGTGGTTACTGGGAACACACCTAGTTGCATGCATGACTAAATCCTGCCGGTTGCCTACCACCTTTATAAACTAACTATATACTGTATATACAGTATATACTATATATACAGTATATATACACCGATCATCCATAACATTATGACCACTGTCAGGTGCAGTGAATAACGTTGATTATTATCTCATTACAATGGCACCTGGAAGGGGGTGGGATATATTAAGCTGCAAGATATATATTAAGCAGGGACATTTTGTCCCTGAAGTTGATGTGTTGGAAGCAGAAAAAATGTGCAAGTGTAAGGATTTGAGCAACTTTGACAAGGGCCAAGTTGTGATGGCTAGACGACTGGGTCAGAGCAACTCCATACTCCAGATCTTCATACCCATATAAGTTTTAGTGGTACTTGAGATCTTCACTCCCATATAAACTCAGCATTAGTACAGTAATATTTGCAATATTAGGACAGCATTAGTGGTAACTGAGATCTTCACACCTGTAAAAGGGCAGCACTAGTGGCACCCAAGCTCTTCACACGTATATAAGGGCAGCATTACTTGTCTGAGATTCTTCTGACCCGAATAAGGGCAGCAATAGTGGTACCTGAGATTTTTACAGTCATAAAAGGGCACTGTTATTGGTACTTGAGTCCTTCACATGTATAAGGGTAGGATTAGTTGTCTGAGATCAGCATTAGTGTTACCTGAGCTCTTCACACCGGAATAAGTTGTCTTGGGATCATCACACCCATATAGAGATTTTTACAGGCATACAAGGGAAGCATTATTTGTACTTGAGTCCTTTATATGCATATAAGAGCAGCATTAGTTGTACCTGAGATATTCACACCCTTATGAACACAACATTGATTGTACCTGAGATTTTTCACACCCATAAAATGGCGGCATTAGTGGTACCTGAGAATGTCTCACCAATATAAGGGTAACATTAATGGTACCTGAGATCTTCTCACCCATATAAGGGCAGCATTAGTTGTACTTGAGATCTTCATACCCATATAAGGGCAGCATTAGTGGTCCCTGAGAATGTCTCACCCATATAAGAGCAACATTAATGGTACCTGAGATCTTCTCACCCATATAAGGGCAGCATTAGTGGTACCTGAGATCTTCTCACCTGTTTAAGGACAGCATAAGTTGTACCTGACGACAAGATTTTGAATATTTGACTGAATATTTTTTTTAATTTTTTTTAGTTTGTAGAAATATGTTAGAAGTGTGTATATTTTTAGTTATACTTGCTTTTGATTTCTTGCTGCAATATCCTTATGTCTTTCAGCCACTAGGTGGTATTGCTCTCACTTTCTCACTTTCTGTGACTATTATTCTAATTTCCAGTGACAGCATAATATAACTGCTTGTAACAATTCTCATTGTTAGAATATATGAGCTTTAGAATGCCCTATATCATTATGCAATAGGTGTTTATGTTACTTGTGTTTATTAAAGCATTCACTGTGATAGGACAGCACAACTTACGTGTTCTTTATTACATTTATTCCAGTTCCATTAGAATTTTCATTTTAAAAAAAATGACAATAAAAGCCATGTGTTTAATCTGCATTGTTACAACTCAAATATTGTTTCATGTCTATGAACATTATACTTACATACAAAAAGACATATATATATATA